CTCGTTTTCAGTTTCAGGCTGAAACGACATGGGGGCCTGTAAGCCCTTATTTCTAGGCTTTTAGGCTGAGAATGCGGGACGGGCCCTGCAGGCCCGTGTGGCTACACAGTATGCCACAACTGAAGTGAGACAAGGTGATGGTTTTCTTTTCGAAGATGTCTTTACGGTTTCCAGTGGAAGGTGTCTTTCCCGTTTTCCAAACCAAGCTGAGTAGTTGTGTGGCTTAACTCTCAAATGTTGTACGAGAAGGACACGAGTCTAATCCTGGCATCTAAACATTACGAACTTGTCATTCTTGTGGAGCTGTGTCACCAACTGCATCGGTTCATGTTATTGTGTGCTCTGGCAGCCTTGGATTCCCTCTCCTGACCTCTACCGTAGGTGAGTCGAAACCAGCTGTGATGCTTGTCTGACTGAGCAGGGTTCCATCGTCAATTGTCGTCTCAACAGACCCTGTGATGCGTGTGTGACTGAGCAGGGTTCTGTCGTCAATTTCCTTCTCAACAGACGTCACTTCTGATGGAATAACGGCATGCATTACATTCTGAACACCAGCTTGACCGAAGACAGTATGTTGATTACACTATCATCATCATTATGGTGTTCTGATTCAATGGTGTTTCTGGTGGCATACATTATTTACGGATTTTGTAGTGTTGACACACTGAAGTTGCTTCACTGGGCAGTTGTTAACTGTGTGCAGTGCCATCCGTTTGACTGTGCGATTGCCACAAGCGGCATTGATGACACTATCAAGGTAAGAATCATATGCTCTTTCCCCCGGACTTGTCTCACTCCTCCCCTTCCCCCTATGGACCTATTATGGAGAACACGCAGTCTCAACTCCTTGTTGGGCTTTGGGCCATCCACAAACTACCTTGCCACTGGGTTGAATACCTCTGCTCTCCACACTTCAGTACAAACTTCTGGGGTCGAGGCTCAAACCCACCCCTCTACCTGTTTGACTATGACAGATCCTTGCCATTCATGCTTTCACCCTGTAGTATGACGTCCTCCCTCGTACAGGACGTAGGGCAATAGGCACACCTTAGTGCTTATTGGCTAGTATTACAACTATATCATATGTGGGGGATGCTGGTGCTGGCATCAGTTTTAGCATCATTGCTGCTGTGCTCTTCTCTCTTTGGTGGCATCCTTGTCCTCTTGTCGTTATCGGAATTGTGAGAGCAACATTTTCCTTGGAGGAGTTATCCTCCATGTTACCTCGTGGTTCGTGTCTAGCACATATGGAATTTCTGGGTTTTTGTTATCCTCCATGTTACCTCGTGGTTCGTGTCTAGCACATATGCAATTTCTGGGTTTTTGTTATTGTCTACAGCACTCTACAAATGGTGTGCATGTTTGCAGTGCTCTACGAGTGGCGTGCATATCCACACTACTCTACGGGTGGCTTCCATAAACTTCCAATTGGTGACAAGCCTGCGAGTAGAGTAATCACAGATGCTGATGCGGCCGTATGTCCATCAGTGGCAGGCCTGAAGAAAGGATCTGACAAGAAAACAGCCTTTCCCTCCAGTTATTGTTGTCATTTATATCTTCCCAGGTTCATTTGTGTCTCATCTGAATGAAAGCAGCGAGCAAGAACACAATGACGTTCAATTGCAATTGCAATGAATGAACTTGGAAAGAGAAACAGACAAAGGAAAGAGAAGAAAGAGGAATGGAAGAAGAAGAAGAAGAAGATAAACACCAGCAAGAACCAATGTCAATTCCCCCTCGTTCAATTGCAATTGCAATGAAAGAACTTGGAAAGAGAAATAGACAAAGGAAGGAGAAGAAATAGGAATGGAAGAAGAAGAAGAAGATAAACACCAGCAATAACCGATGCATCTCGCCACCTTCTTCAATCTCCAATATCTCCTCCAACCTCTAATTTTAATAATAACAAGCAGATCCAAATACAACAATAAGGTGTCACGGACTTTACTCTCACAGCAAAGAACACCTTTTCCCGCCGGCACAAAA